TCCCATCGATACATGCACTCAGCCAATCACGTGTCAGACTCAGCTGTCAATCATGACATTTCACCCCATTTTTATGGTATCAAATAATTTAAATACAAATACATAAATTAAATACAACCAAAAAAAAAAATGAACGCATTGGACAAACATCAGTGCGATAAGAACTACCTAAAATGACAGAAACCATCTTTGAGAAAATTTGATTAGACAACAAACTTTTTTAGTTTGGCTCCCATCCACTAACATGGAGGAGGTGGTTTTCTGACCTGTATTACAGCCAGCCACCAGGGGGCAATCAAGGCAATTTGGCTTCACTTTAAGAGAGCCTTCACCCATCATGTCATCTATTCTCTCACACTGTTTGCATGCTTGCAACCCCACAGAGGAGCTGGCATAGCTGTACAGTTTCTATTTGTGTTTGGATACCTTATGAAACCAGTCAGATGGGTTGTTGTTGAAAAAAATAAGTGAACAGTTTTGAATGTTGTATGTACATCACTTTGTGCAAGCAATAATGCATTTGAGATGGTTTGGGGATAAAACAAGTTGGGCTGAAGTAAATTGTGAATAGTTTTTAGGATGTTGTGTATATATATATATATATATATATATATATATATATATATATATATATATATATATATATATATATATATATATATATATATATATAAATATATATATGTAAATATGGGTGATTGTGGGTCAGAGGTTGAGATCTTCTCACCCTCGAGGGAATAAATGGAGCCGTGAGTGCAGCAGGACTTATACCTCTAACATCTCTAGTGTGACTCTATTAATAAGATCATATCTTTGAGCTTCAGTGTGCACACAGGGGAAGAATGAATACGTTTTTGCAGCCGAGCATGAGTGCTGTCTGCAAGTCTGCTTGCCCTCAGGTGCTGAAGCTGATTTGCCTGAAACATGACTGAAACCCTTTCACTGCGTCTGGATCTGCACGCTCAACCCTTCCAGTGACTTTGAGATGAAGCGGCTGCAGATCAAGCTTGAGGTCACATTGTTTTAATGTCCTGTTTCTTTAAGATTGCACAATCTCAGGAGGAGTCTAGATGTGGGTGGACGGTCTCGATGTGTGTCTGTGTCTTTGACAGGAAATTTAATCAAGATAGGGTAATGTGAGTTGGCAGGAGGACACATTACAGGTTTAGGTTTTGAAAATAGATACAGTTTATGTGTCGAAGGCACTGCAGCCTTTCTGCCAGTAAGTATGTGTAAGTGTGTGTGTGTGTTTGAATCAGTCTATGTGTGTTTAGTACATGCGCCGTATTCCTGACCCCTGATCACATAAAGTATTTTAATCCAATCAGCTTCGTTTTCACATGACTGTCACACACTCGCTGCTGCTATGGCAACCCTGCACAGGAAGGAGAGAAAGTGCTGGAGCGCGAGAGAGGGGTTCGTTGTCCTCTCTTTAATCACTGTGACATTTGCACACATGCAAATACTCATACACACACAACTCACACATAACCGTTGTGGATTTTACACTTATACATAGGTGACACATTATCTTCAAATCCTTTCCAACTTTACAAAAAGACAACCCCTATAAAGTAATGATGTGAGAATATGTGGCAGAGATCGAAAAGTCCAAAAAGTCACAATGGATGTTGAAAAAAAAAAATTTGCTTCAGATATAAAATAGTTATAAAATGATAAAAAATGTACATCTGTAGATTTAAATGTTTAACTTATTGTGTCTAGAGAGGATTTTTTTATCACTATGTATTTTCCATGATAGGTACATCCAACAGATGTTAATATAACTGTAAACCCTGAAATGAAATTCTCACTTATAGACATATACATTTTACTATAATCTCCTTTTACCTTGGCCAAGGATGTTATGTTTTGATAGTGAGCAGCATTAAAACTACAGGTCGAATTATCACTAAACTTGGGGAAAAGATGCAGTAGGTCAGGGAAGAATCCTTTAAATTTAGATGCGGATCAGGTGGCATATCCAGAAATCCACGTTCTTTGACACTGCACAAAGTTGTAAGGCATTTTTGAGATTTTCACAGGGAGAATTTCTAATTTAATAATTCTTAGATCTGGATGTGAAATCTGCTGCAGTTTGATTGAGTTTAAGGGGACAGTTGGGCTTATATGTGCTCTACTGAGTGTTACTCTAGCTTATTGCAGAATTGAAAATGATTGCTAACTTGAAAAAAAACTGGGAAAAACCCTGTGCAGATGTTGATCATGTGTATAGTTGTGCAGTTGCTGCTGCAAATATGTGCACAGACACAAAGTGAGAAGAAACCTACTTTAGAGACAATTCATAAAAGAGGAAAGTTTGCAAAAAAAAACCTACTTTAAGGTGATCAAATGTTTTTTAATGGGAAAAGATTTCAAAAAGAGTTAACTCTGATAAGGACTGAGGCCAAACTCACAAATACCCACTTCCCTTGAGAGGTGAAAAGGTTAAGATGTGCCCTGTGGTTGGTTTATGACGTGCCACCCTCTGCTGCGTCGCGGTTTTTGTCACTGACATTTCCTGTTCTGCTTCAAGTTGAAGTATATTACTGCTGCTCTTTATGCTTACAGTGCTAGTCGTTCTTACTTTTTCTGAATGTGTTTCTTTTTCTTTTTCTGAAAACCTGCATCTGAAAACCTGTATCAGCAACACTGTGTTTTTTTTTCTTACCTTACCATGGAGCTCAGTAAACAGGAGGTTACAGTCATCAGCTCAAGTTGAGAGTCTGAGCCTCACTGTTCAGCAGTGAGCCCAGCAGGCCATCCTCTGGTCATTGATGGTATAAGTTTTTGTTGTTATGAGTTTTTGAACACAAATTCATTGCTAAGTATTTTTAAATAATCGTTTATGTAATATTAAATATGTATTTATATTTATATAATTATTTAGTGATAATACATAAAACTGTGTTGTTTCTGAAAAAGCAGTAAATATATGGAATAATTATGATGATGAATAAAAAATGTGTTTAAAAACAAATGATTGTAGTCATGTTTTTAAAAGATTGACATTTTGTTTGATTTAATTGATTTTAGGGCCTAATTGGGATGCCATTTACATTCTTTTAGGTATGAAGGGTAGGATAAACATTGTCTTTTCTCCTTTATTTGATATAATTTTTTGTTACAAATCCTTTGTTTAAAATATATACTGAAAACTTTTGCTCTTAGAGTAACACAAACAGGTTGAGGCTCTTTGCACTGAAGCATTTTGTCTCAAAGAAATAACTCAGAATAATATTATTACATAATTATACTAGAAGAGCTCTTTAAAGCACTGAGTGTTCTTATCACAAATTGAGGTTGACTAAAACTTTTTGTATTTAATTATTTGGCTCCATTTGCATCAATATATTTTTTTCCCTCCTGAACATCTTTTGCATAATATATATTACTGAGGTCTCCATTATATTGTTATATCTTTTATTGAGATTGTATTATCCTAAATATTTAATACCACTGCAATGCATACTCACACACACACACAATTTCTACTGCTCGACTCTTATCATACTCCTATTATCATATTACAATCATTCTTTTTATCCTCTGTCTTGTCTGTATCTACTATGACTTTTTCTCTTCATCTTTTTAGTCACCTTGAAAAAAGGTTACGTCTTCCACTGATTGATAAATTATATTCAAAAACTAATTTCTGTTAAAATAGCTCCTGTATTATACAACCACACATACATAACCTTTAGTTTCAATAAATAAATAATCTGTTTTTCTAGAGTGAGAAGAGGATCACATTAACTGGTGGTAATTCCTTCCAACTGTATACGACTGAGTCAACAATGAGAATCTTTAAAATACATAAAGCATCTCTAATTGCATTTTCCGCTCCAGATTAACATCACTTAAACTCAAGGTCATCTAACAAATGATTTTATTTGTGGATAACAGACATAACAGAAAAAGTGAAGGTGTCCGTTCCAGCAGAGAGGAATCAGCAGTTTCAAGACCCCTCAGCTTGAAACCCCTCTAAAATCAAGGAGAGAGACGTATGTAAACTTCATACAAAATAAAAGGACCCAACCAGACATCAAATTTATTTTTCCTTTTTTATGTCTGGTTACAGAAAGGTGCTGGTCGACAGTCACGATGTAAGGGAACATAGAAGGATTGTGGACGCATACCGTGGACACAGGGTTCAGGGTGTTCAGGTTAGGGACTCTGAAAATGATTGGAGCGGGGGAGGTGGGGGCTGAGTGTTATATTTCACTCTTTAAAAGAAGCACGAACCTCCGCAGGATTATTAGCATTTTCTTTGGGTCCCCCTCTTTGTCCATATGAGACAGGCATCGTAATGATCAACCTTGACACACACTAAACTCATCATTTCCAACTACTTTATCCTTCTTTCAAAAAAAAAAAAAAATCAATCAACTTACAAAGGAAGCCTGGAATATACATTTGTGCTGATTAAAAATGAATCGACCCTCCCCTGCTACCCAAATAACTCCTCTCACTTTACAAATAAAGAGAATGCATGACCCTCCTCCTTTCCTTAGCATTATCACTACCTTCCCCCCCACTAATGTTGTACAGTCCTTATAGACACGGGTGAAATAGCTTTGCAAGAATTTCATACAGCATTTGTAATCAACAGTCTATTTAACTTTTTGTATTTTGTCGCTGGGCCTATTTACCTAACCGAGGATTTTGATTTCCAAATAACTGTAGCTATAGCACATACTATATGTTATAGTATATATATTACTCCTATGATATTCATGTTAACAAATGGCTAAACCCATTTGTTTTGCTCAGGATAAA